TGAATGTTTTTTGTGAGAAACCCCAGACACAAAAAAATCAGCGTGATGATGTCATCACATGGAAGGGCGCCCCCTAGCGGCACATAAAATAGAGTTTGCTTTCGTTAATTTTAAAACCATAGGTTCAAATTTTACCAAGTTGCTCCTTGGTATTCTTTGATTAACCACAGTTAACTTGGCAAGGTTTCAAATTCATAACATTATCAGACAGGAAGTTACTTCTATGAGAATATGCTAACGATCAAATTGTATATTTTAAATTTAATTCTATCATTTGATCCATGTCGTATATCTTAGCCCAATTAATGTTACCATTACAAAGTTCACCTTTTGCTTCCAAACACTGTGACGTCATCAAACCGGAAGTTCGGTGTTATGAATTTATCATCAAGTTTGTCCAAATTTTCATACGTTATTTAACTTTACAATGAACATCTACTCCGAACTAAATCAGGATTCACTTCCCATTTTTGACAAATGACGTTATCAAGCCAGAAATAACTTGTATGTGTACAAAGAATGTTTACTGAAAATTTATCACACCACTAAAAATGCATTTTTTTAATCACAATAATTGTTTGTCTTGGAAAGGATTTAATTTTGTGATCCTTTGCTCTTACACAAAAATATTCTTGACTTAACTGGACAGTGTTTCATAAAATAGTTTTCTACCCAACCACTCTGCGATTGTAACAACAAACGCAAATCTGTAGTTGGCTTTTCTGATGAACGGCAGAAAAGCCTTTGTTTTTGTTCTGATATTTTTTTGTCTTCTTTTTTATCTTTTTGGGTCCACCCCAAATCGCATTGACTTTGTACACGTTATTGGTGTGACCCACATTTGACCTAAAACAAAGTCCTATTCCAATGAAACTTATCTCAGGTAAAGACCCTATAGTGAAGTTGTGTCTCGAAGAGTGACGTCATGATTACGTCATCATGGGTCACCTGACGTCATCACAAATGTGCATATTTTGAAGTTCTATATCTACAGAACTGTACGTCCGAATGGGTTGATATTTGGTATGATGGTAGACCGGGTTGTGTTATCAGGTAAAAATTGAGGTGACGTCACGATGATGTCATCGTGCGATTTATTATATTTTTGGGGGGAATTTTTGGAGCCTCAAGCCATATCTCACGAACCCAATATGCAAAATTGAAAATTCTTTTTGTATTATGATTGTTAGGTAACATGTGTTTGGCCAACATTTAGAAAAAATGTGTGACGTCACGATGACGTCATCAAAAATGCCATTTTTTAAAAATACATATAAGGAAAGGCCCAATCGTCAAGAAACTTGGTGGATAGGTAGATGGTGTCATAAGTATGCAAAACCTGAAATGACGTCACCATGACGTCATTGGTTGATTTTTTATGATTTTTGAATATTAACATTTTATTACACTTAGAACATTTTACACTTTCTTTCTTGGGATTGACGTAAAACTTGGTGCACATCAAGACCACAATAAAAATATGTGAATTCAGTCAGTAGCCGTGTCACGCACACAGCCCTGTTTGACCTCAGTTTCTCATCCCGAGGTCAAGTACGTTTGGCCCAAAAGCGTACACAAGATTTTACGAGATTTATTCGAGACTACAGAAAAACACAAAAAGTGCCTCTATACATGCACTGTTTGGCCAAGATGGCAAAAAAAGAGAAAAGTTGGAATCGTGTAATGCTGTTATGGCCTGTCAAACAAAATCATATTGTTTATCAACAATCGAGGGCCGATAGTTTTTAGGTGTACATTCGATTCTAAAGAAAGGCCGAACCAAATGGCAAGGCTTGATAGATAAAGGAAAGTATATACGCTTCATTTTCATGTGAAACACGTGCAGGAGACTTCTAATGTTTGGTCCTAATCGCAGGCTGAAAAAAAAGAAGACTTTTGCGAGATTTCATGATTTGCAATCACATGTACGCATGTAAACGAATGTAAGTACACCAACGTACAAAATGTACGTTGGCCTGAAAACATTGTGAATAGCACGTGCGAATGCGCAATGAATGACTTATGAATATTAAGCGGGCCCATACTCGAGCTTGACCAATCAGTAGGCATATGGGTCACATTTTCCCAAATGCATATAACAGAAGTTCCCTTCGTCATGAAACTTTGTGGATAGGTAGATAATGTATGCAAAATTTGAAATGATGTCACCCTGACGTGATCAGTTGATACTTGATGATTTTCTTAACATTTAAGATTTTATTCCGCTTACAAATTTTTTACACTTTCTTTCATGGGATTGACATCAAACTTGGTGCACATTAAGATCACAATGAAAGCATGTGCACTGACAAGTGTTGTTACCATGACGTTATCGCGGGACATGTGATGTGGATCATGTTAAAAGGTGTATATTTTAAAGTTCAAAGTTGGTATGTACCTGGACTGGGATGTGTTATAGATGAAAATTGAAGTGACGTCATGATGATTTTATAGGTTACGTGACGTCACGTTAAAGATTAATAGATTTAATCTTTGAAAATCAATATAAAATCAAATATGAGAGACCTCAACTGACTTTTGCGGAAATTGATAGAATAATCCTCATCTTTGGAACAAATTACCCCTTGCCATTCGCAATATCTCATTGGTTTCTGAATTTAAAGTGGCCCTGAAGACCAATTTGTTCCAGATCACTCACAATACTCTTGTCTAAATAAATTTAATTGTTTTGTTATTGCTGATTTGATCTAATTTTGTATTGCGCCATGAGTGTCATTTATGCCGGATACCGGCGCATTATAAACTGCCACTATTATTATTATTAATCCAGGGTCTTCATTTTTGATATTACATGCAAAATCACGTGACCCTTCCGTCCGGTTGAAACCGGAAGTGCCTTGTATTTTAAAATTGGTGAAAGATGTGAACTTATTTTCAACGATGTTTGCTCTGGTTAAGTTGTTCTTTACAAAAACAATTTAAAGTTATAGATGAAAATTACTGTGACGTCATTATGACGTCATCACGTGATGGGACATCAGAATTCAAAACCCTATGAGAATTTAATCATACCTATGCCACCATTTATTATAACCGGAACTACACATCTTTCCTGGATGGAATCATACTTAAAAGTGTACATGTCACATATCACAAAAAAGTTGCCGAAACAGCCCTGTGTTTGTCCACAAACATAAGTGTAGTTGTACCTGTTGTACTTTCTTCAGTGGTGCTCTGTACTGTAGTTGTCTCTTCAACAGTAGTTGACTCTGGAGTAGTTGTGTACACAACAGTGGTTGTCACCTCCTCAGTAGTCGATGGTGCCTCAGTAGTTGATGGTACAGTAGAAGTAACGGTAGTACTGACAACAGTAGTTCTAGCCTTGGTTGTTGAGGCTTCTGTTTATAGTAATTAAGTCATAATAATGTTACATGTTGGTTTTATTTTCAATGCAGAAAATTCAAGTGTGAACAATCTAGTTCACCTTGAATATAATCTGGTGGCCTACCGCTACTGCTGCTAAAAAAAATGATTAACTTTCTCCTCAATAGTTTGATACAAGTTGCCACAGGTATTGGCCCAATTAGGCCATCAGCCTCGATCCAAAATTTTGGCCATCGGTATCAAATGAGGGGAATAATCATCATAGCGATTTTTGGCATGGTATACACCTTCGGAGATGGAAAATATGTGATAGCATTGCAACAGTGGCAGCTTTTTGGGTGTTCTCACCCCTTTTTTCAAAATGTCCATCAAAATGCTTGTTACCACTCTAGGGGCGGTATACCTTGTGCATGCTCATTATAATCATTTATGCCCTGATTTGATACCAACCAAACCCCCAAGCTGATGGCCTAAATTTCACGCTTTGTTGTCCCCCTTCTGATAAATTCTTTCTATCTAACAGTCATAAAGTATTGTAGCAAAATCAGCTCTGCGCTGTATAGGGGCGTCAAAAGAGGGCGCTATCGCCGCGCGCTAGGCGCGCAGCACAGTCGTGGTTCTTCCACGTCCGCAATGTAGGACTCTCTGCTACGTCCGCGGCGCGGCTATAAAAGCCGAGCGTATCGCGCGCGCTCTCTCTCTCTCTCTGGTGGGACTCGCCGAGCAACTTGACTTGGTGAGTATAGCTGGTTAGCTGAACTGCGGAAGCGGGACTCCAGTCGTGCACGGCGCGAGGAGGAGCTACAGGAGGCTTACTCAGGATCTGGGCTACGCATGTCCATCGGGACAGGATCGGGAGGCTGACTCACGATCTGGGTACCGCTGGTCCCTCACTGGGATCGGGATCACAGCGAGCTACTGGAGGCTGACTGGATCTAACCGGGATTCACAGGAGCTACAGGAGGCTTACTCAGGATCTGGGCTACACAAGCCCATCGGGACAGGATCGGGAGGCTGACTCACTATCTGGGTACCGCTGGTCCCTCACTGGGATCGGGATCACAGCGAGCTACTGGAGGCTGACTGGATCTAACTAGGATTCACTGGAGGCTGCATGAGCAGTCGTGGCCAGAGCACAGAGGAGAGCCGGGTGCATTAGAGGCGCTCGTTACAAGCGGCTGCAACCCCTTTGTTATAGGAGGCGCGGTGCGCAATAAGCCCCCCACAGGAGGCTCCCACATAGCAAATAAGAGGCACATTAATTCACATATGCACACCCCTTAATTACAGGCCCACTGAGTATTGAATAAATCATATATCTTTTATTACGGCACATGAAACCCAGTTGTCAGTGTCCAATATAATTCCTTTGTCCTTGTCTATTATTTAATTATCCCCTCCCCCCATCTGATTTGTGAGCTACTACATTGGAAGTCGGCGGTATATTTCGGCCAAACGGACTCGGGTTATTTCGCTAAATGGTGGCAGCGGTCTGTCGCGCTACAGTATTATCAAGTCCCTTGTACAGTCATGAATTATAACTGTTTGATTATCAACATTTTCCCATGCATCAAATATTGTTTAGCAAGTCCTGCTGGAACACTTGTAGACAGTTTTTGCATTTTTGAGGATTAGCAACAAAACCGTTAGCTCACCTGTTGTTGAGGGTGCCTCTGTTGTTGAGGGTGCACTGGTTGTAGTCACTGTGTTGTTTAAGAAAGCAAAATCAACTATCAGTATATTTTTGATCCTACTTTTTTTTTTTAAGAGAACTGAACAACTACTACAAAAATCAACAACATTTCATGGCCTTATGTTTCGATCCTAGTGGAAAGTTTGACAAAGTTCCTCCAACGATTGACCACTAACAAAGGTCCTGCTGGGATTGAAATGGTTAGGCCGTTCACCTTTTTTTGATTTGTACGTTTCAGGTAAATCCAGTCAAATAAGTAGTTTGCAGCAGTTTGATTCATTTTTTGTCAACAAATATTAAAGCAGCAGAAATTTCTCTTCACTCTTCATTCACATTGCATTTATTTTCCAATACTGTAGATTAAGCTCCATTTTTTTCATCATCCTTTTCATTGTTTCCTTGATTCATTCAATTCTACAGCCATTCCATCATTATGCTTAAGAAGTAAAGAGAAAATAAGTGACTATAAAAATACCTCCGTGTTCACAACCGTTGAATATCACTTTGTAACCATCTGGGTTTGAGGTGATGATGCAAACTTTGAGTCCTGTCACCAACGCCATACTGGATGGTAGATAGATCTTTTGATCTGTTTTGCCAATAAAGATAGGAGAGCCAGCTTCATCTACTAGAGGCAGGTATGGTTGCCTGTCACCTGGTTGAAATTTGAAGGAAACAGTTATGTCTCCCGGTGGGCCTTGTTCTGTCTTTATGATGACCGACGTGATTTCAACCCGTGGGCTGAAGGTAGCCCCCAAACATGATCCATTGTGTGGTGATGTAACATCGTTGGGTGGGTTGCTAGGGCGCCACCAGTCAGTCGGTTGTAATTCATTGCCTGATTCTGGGTCTTCGCGTATTATCGTCACATTTGGCAATTTGTCAAGATCATCCGCACATACCTCTGGAGTAGTTGATGGTGGTGAAGTAGTTGACACTGATGTGATTCAAAATAAAAATGAAGGAAATACAAAACAGAAAGAGGCATACAATTGAAAATGGTGAAAAGATAATGAATGAAAGGTTTTTATTTCATAGTTATTTTTAGTTATTATTTCTGCCTCTTTCTTGCACATGTGGGACTGTCCATAAAGCCGACTTGTTAGACCCTCCGTACGCATGACATACGCATTGGTTCCAAACACCCTCCCCCTGCCTGTACACATACGCATTCCGGTGTAGTCACGATGCACCATAAATGCTGTGTTGAATAACATTGCCCGAAGTGTAAAATGCATACGATAATCATATTTTCTATGGACAAATTTCAAAAATATTGTCGTTAGATTTGAGAGAAGTAAGTTTTAGGTAAGAAGTTGTTTTTAATGATAAAAAAACTCTCTTGACTCTAACTACATGACCAAATTGATAGGGGCCCGTATCCCTTTTGCCTTCTGATAATGTCACATTTTCTAAAGTCTAATGGCCTCTCAAGGCATTAGCTGACGGTGGCACTGGCATGGGAAGATAAATCTAAATGGAAAGGGTGAGGGGTAAAGTGTTTTGATGCATAAATGCTGGTTCTAGTAGGTATTAATGATTAGAAAGTACATTTATTTTATGACAATTTATTTAAAGCAAATTATCACTACCATACATACGCATTGACTTTGACCCCCCCCCTTGTGTGTACATGTGGCCGGCCCCTTTTAGTGGTGTAACTGGGAGTCCTCATTTGTTACACTACTGGTCCTTTTATTGTTTTGTGTGTGTGATTTTATAATGATTTAATACAGAACTTTGTAAAACATTTGAAAGTAACTCAAACATTCAATTTAACTATAAGTTTATCAGAATCAAAAGTCAGTCTATCCCAAAACCTCTAACCTGTGGTCGACTCCACTGTAGTGACTTCCTTTGTGGTAGATTCAGGGGTAGTGGTCACAACTGTTGTTACCTCCTTGGTTGTTGAAGGTGGGGCAGTTGTTGAAGGTGGGGCAGTTGTTGAGGGAGCCTCAGTAGTTGTCACGCGAGTAGTTGACTTCTCCGTTGTACTTGGAGGACCTATAAGATACAGTCCACAAAGTTTCAATTGGAGTTGGGTGAAAACAAAATAATCTTTTGCTCTTTTTGCTGTTTACTGATCTTTATTTCAATGAGTAACTTATTTTCTATTCTATTCCATTGTCCAGGCCTAAAAGTAGACTTTAATAAACACATGCATTAGAGTGAGAGGCTGGGTGTACCGGTATGTGCTGCGTAAGTGTGCCTGCCACATCCATCCACGGTCAGTTGTTTCACTGCCTACTGCAACATCACCAGTGGTCAAGCTCTGTTCATTTACACAAGCCTTTGTACTCTTTCACCAGACCTTTTGCTCTCGAAGCACATCCACAATTTGTTCATCCCGATTTTTGTTTGCTTGAGAAGTGTTTGTATACAACATCCATTCATGTGCCCGAAGAGCTCCAAATTTGTCTCATCCGACCAAACAATGGATTTCCTAAACTCAACGACGTTTTTCCGAATGGTCCCTAGCAAACTTCAGTCTGGCAGTGATGTGCCATTGTTTAAGCAATGGTTTAACCAATGGTGTTTTCCTTGGTTGATGACCTCGGAGCCTTTTCATATTTATAAAACACTGAAAGAAAAAGATATTTATTCTTTCCAGTTTGGGACATTCATGCACCAACCAAATCACAACAAATTACCAAAATCCATCCACTGTATGTTTGCACCAACATTTCACCAGACAGTGAACAAATTTCATCAATCCTTTGCTCGTATGACTCTCGCCAAAATACAATCCTTAGATGTTTCTATACAAAATATATGGAATCTTACATTATTTAAACAATAATATATGGCCAAACTACTAACTGGGTATACAAATTCTAATTAGTCTATTTGTCTACATGTCTCACAGGGTTACACTGCTTACTGTAATGACAATGTGTACTTTGTGTTAATACAGTGTATGTAAGTGTCAATGAAGTGGTGGGGCAGTTGTTGAAGGTGGGGCAGTCGTTGAAGGTGGAGCAGTCGTTGAAGGTGGGGCAGTTGTTGAAGGTGGTGCAGTTGTTGAAGGTGGAGCAGTCGTTGAAGGTGGAGCAGTTGTTGAAGGTGGGGCAGTCGTTGAAGGTGGAGCAGTCGTTGAAGGTGGAGCAGTCGTTGAAGGTGGAGCAGTTGTTGAAGGTGGGGCAGTTGTTGAAGGTGGGGCAGTCGTTGAAGGTGGGGCAGTCGTTGAAGGGGGGGCAGTTGTTAAAGGTGCGGCAGTCGTTGAAGGTGCAGCAGTCGTTGAAGGTGGGGCAGTTGTTGAAGGTGAGGCAGTTGTTGAAGGTGGGGCAGTTGTTGAAGGTTGGGCAGTTGTTGAAGGTGGGGCAGTCGTTGAAGGTGGGACAGTCGTTGAAGGTGGGGCAGTTGTTAAAGGTGAGGCAGTCGTTGAAGGTGCAGCAGTCGTTGAAGGTGGGGCAGTTGTTGAAGGTGGGACAGTCGTTGAAGGTGGGGCAGTTGTTGAGGGTGGGGCAGTCGTTGAAGGTGGGGCAGTTGTTGAAGGTGGGGCAGTTGTTGAAGGTGGGGCAGTTGTTGAAGGTGGGGCAGTTGTTGAGGGTGGGGCAGTTGTTGAAGGTGGGGCAGTTGTTGAGGGTGGGGCAGTTGTTGAAGGTGGGACAGTCGTTGAAGGTGGGGCAGTCGTTGAAGGTGGGACAGTCGTTGAAGGTGGGACAGTCGTTGAAGGTGGGGCAGTCGTTGAAGGTGGGGCAGTCGTTGAAGGTGGGGCAGTCGTTGAAGGTGGGGCAGTCGTTGAAGGTGGGGCAGTCGTTGAAGGTGGGGCAGTTGTTGAAGGTGGGGCAGTTGTGGAGGAAACCTTTGTAGTCATATGAGTGGTTGCCCTTTTTGTTGTACTTGGAGGAGCTGGATATCACAACAGCCTATTTTTAAATTTGATTAACAATTATCAAATATGGTCTATTCCTATCACAAATTCTTTTGTGGAACGGTTTGATTGCAGTTAATGTTATACACGAGATCATTACCTGTTGTACTTTCTTCAGTGGTGCTCAGTACTGTAGTCGTCTCTTCAACTGTAGTTGACTCTGGAGTAGTTGTGTACACAACAGTGGTTGTTACCTCCTCAGTAGTTGATAGTGCCTCAGTAGTTGATGGTACAGTTGAAGTAACGGTAGTGCTCGCAATGGTGGTTTTGGCCTCGGTTGTTGAGGCTTCTGTTTGAAGTAAAAAAAAAAAAATCCACTACATGTCGCACGTAATCTGGTGGCCTACCATTGTTAATAAACTTTGAAAGATTTGGTCTACTTTCTAAAGGTCTAACATATCTTCAGTGTTAACACAACAATAACTTTTTGCCCACAGACTCTGGAAATTGTATCCTTGTGGAGTCGTTTCTTTGTTCTCGTGTACTAAAATTTTGAGTTTGAAAATCTAATTTTAAAAAGCTCCTATTTTAACCAGAATTTATCTTCTATTTTAACCAGAATTTTAATTCCTGGGCTGAAATTCGGACCTTATGTATAATATCCCTTACGTATAATACTTCAACAAAACTTGGAAATTCCTAGTTTTTGAGTAAAATTCATATACCTAGTTAACCTTGTGGAGACATATTCACCTATAGAATTTGTCCTGTGGAGACATATACAATCTTGTGTTCCCTATTATCAGATTCTATCATTTGTTCCCCATTATTTGTTTGTTTTTTTGTTCCCTATTTATCACGGTGACCAGCATTAGACATGATGCGAACAGCTTACTTTTTTACTCAACTACCCCAGTTTATAACTGAATAATTTAATACGGGAGAACTAAAGAATTACAAAGAATAACTAAAATGTTGCTGGGGATGAAGAATTTTAAGCAATTCATTATACCAATAGTTTTAATATCTTGCTGAAGATATCACTATGTACTTCTTCCACGTAAGATTTTCATCTATTGTAACACTTAAGAATTTAGTAGTTGTGACGGAAAGATTTCCATATAAGAAGTTCACTCAACAGAGTGGACTGAAAAATTCTAAGTGTTTTCTAAGAAAATGCTTGTATTTTCTCACTGCTCAAATTGACTTTGATGACATGAAATTGCTATCTGGGGGTTTGTTAGTCAATACAAAGGAAAATAAGTGAACTTCTTATATGGAAATCTTTCCGTTGTGACATGATTTATATTTACATCATTCAAAACTAGTGGAACAGATTTGGTATGTTTCTGTTGTCTTGAAGAAAATGTCATGTAGTTATGCATGTAGATTTCAGCAGATTAATACACAATTTTTTGATAAAAGCCAAGTACTTCTTGTTGTTTTTTTAAGTTCAATATTAAAAATCTCAATAGCTGCATCCACCTTGTTATGGCCGTACACCAAACTTGTGTCATCGGCAAATAAGCAGAAGGATATGATGTCAGATATATAAGACATATTGTGAATAATAATAATAATAATAATAACTAGAAATGTGTTTGTGGACAAACACAAGCTTTTTCGGATATTTGAAATACTCTGTGCACTTGGTGAGCAATTCGACTAGGACCATCTGTGGGTGGAAGTCTAAGTGTGTACCAAGTCTAATGTCGATTGGATTTACGAAAGTGCCAAAGTAGAGTGTTTTAAAATGTGTACAAACCCTATGGAAAAAATGCATCTTTAATGTGACGTAACCTGATAATGTCACGATGACAATTTTCTTCTAGGACCATCTGTGGGTAATGGTCTAAGTGTGTACCAAGTATAAAGTCGATCGGATTTACGGGGACCATCTTATGCTGCTGGTTTTACTAGTGTCTGACAAGTGTAAAGTCAAGCAGACATATAGAAGTAGAAAAGAGTATAGTTTGAAGAAAAACGTGTACAAAACTAAAAGGGAAACAATGCATCTTTAATGTGACATAACCTGACACCTCATGACGCCACGATGACGACTTTCTTCTAGGATCATCTGTGGGTGGTAGTCTAAGTATGTTCCAAGTCTAATGTGATCGGAT